TAAGAAGAAGGAAATAATAACAAGACATTGTAGTGTGTAACAGGAGATTTAAATATTATCATACTTGAAACGATCAGCTAAGTCGTTTTCCATCTAGAAATATCGCGAGAAACATACTTAAATCGACTTGCTCCTAAAACTCGAGTAACAAGTATAACGATAAATTTCATGTTCTTTTCACCGCTTTTTACCGTCATTCTGCCACTTCGTTTCTTCAATAACTACAGGCAGACCCACTAGTAAAAGTTAAAACACAAGTATCTATATTAGCAGCCGAATCCAAAGATATCTGATACTGTAGTTTTATGTGACATTTAGTTTCTTAGCTATAGCTTAATGAAAGAGAGTTTACTGATGTTTTGGGACAGAGAAAAGGTTTCCGCAGAAGGAAATAATTTAGAAGACATGAGAGTGGTGGATGATGGAATGAATGAATCAGTCAATGTGGTAACTTCCATCGACAGCTGAGTTCCGATAAATGACGCTACCGACAGGTGAGCTCCCGACGGCAAGATCCTCGACGTTTGAGCTTGGTGTGTAATAAAACATGCAAATCCAATTTATTATGCACATAATCATGAATATCAGCAGTGCTCTAGTGCCAAAAAAATATGAAAGGATCTTTTAAGATGCTAAATCGGAGGGGTCTTGCCAAGTTTTATTCAGAATTCTCTCTCAAATCATAGTAATTCCTTTTTGAAAAATTTCTCATGAATAAATAGAATCATTTTCTCTGAATTTCAAGTTTCTTCTCAGATATAGATTTTTCTGAATACCAATTGCAGAATCTTATCAGAAAAGTTTTTCTATTTATTACCATTCGACGAAACATCTTTCTTCCATTTAACCTCCGTTGAAGTATTTTCCGACACATATTCTCAACAGAGTTACGTCAGTTAGTATTCGTCTGGTTTCGAAAAAGTTCAAAATCATCGACATGATGTTAGATGTTCAAAAGGAAGTAGTTACACGTGTAAATGACGAAGTAAGAAGAGAACATAGAACCGAGACGAGAATTAGTCTAGATTTTGGATCGTCTGATGTACTTAAATCTCTAATTATTAAGTTATAAACCACAATTTTCAAGCAAAAATACGATCCCTTTCAGGTTTCAGAGCTTTTTTTGAGAATCTTTTTAGCAAAAACAACTATGGAAAGAAACACTATTCTATTGTTCGAAATGATATAATAATTATGGTCCTAATTTTCTTGAAAAAAATACACTTTAAACTGATAGTACTCGCCCAAAACAGACTCATTTTTTAGATTGAAAATAAACCCGCTTTTCTACAAATATTCTCTCGGATAAATTATTCTCGTATTCTTATGCGTATTCAGTTATAATACTTGAATGATTGAGTAAGATGATAACGTAACGACATTAGATCAGCAAGGTATTCATGTCATTCAAAGTACTACGACTGTCTTCATCATAAATTCTTGGTTGTTTTGACAAAAAACAGGCCAAACAGGTAAAGGTGGTAAAAAGAACGTATTTTTAGTAGTACAAATGTGCATTTTAGGGCGATAAATGAGCTCTTCTCTGCTTGGGATGTATAATCTTTAGATGACATTGTCAAAAGATTCACGGAGTCGAAATGGGAGTCTGGAGATAAAAATTTTCGAAGTCGGAGTTGGCAGTCGGAGTCGGGTTTCGGAGTCTTCTCCAAAATCCCTCTTGCAACTTTTCAACAGCCGCTGCTCCTAACAGCACTTGCAGAAGCAGTAGTCTTTTGCTTCCCCTGAGAGAGCACCTGGGACCGATCACTTCAAAATTGTGTATAACATTTTTCATTTGTTTTATTTCAATTTCACCGCACCTAATGTTCGCTACGGCGGAGATTTTCGGAAATCCATTGACGAGTGATGCATGAGTCCCTGTTCTTGCAATTATTTCATCGCATCACTCATGATATGTGATACAATTAATTCTGTCTACAAATCGTTCCTTTTCTAAGTCATCAGAAGATTAGCCACTTTGATTATCTCAATTGATGTGTTATGGGCTCACCTTAATTCGGTTAATACTTAAATCACCTTCTAATGCGACCGAGATAGTTACTTGCACAGACACTTCCCTTATCTGTCTGTGTATATATATAAGCATAACCTTCTTCTTTCTGTTTCTTCTCTTCATTGTTAGTCATGGTAGTGAGTCCTTTCCGATTAACAATAAACACGTTGTCCAGTTTGCGTACGTCCTTCGTGACAAACGACCATAAAAATAGACAATGGAAACTACATGAAGTAGATAGCACTCTGCTGTAACAGAATCGATATTCAATACCACTTCAACGATGTAAGCTACAATTCATCAACAGATCATTTATGCATGAGCAAAGAGATCTAATAAACCTCCTTCCATAATAGAAGCTCCCGGGGGCTTCTAAACTGTCCAGCGTCCAAAATTTTCGGATGGGGCTTCTATCATGTCCCATGATTTTTCAAATATTTCAGGTACCAAAATTTTTCTATAGCGTTAAGGGAATGTTACAAGCTCTTCGAAGGATTTTCAAGGAAATTTTGAGATTTTAATACAGACAAATAAGAATGCCATACATTTTATCTTAAAATCTTGTAGTTTTTAAAGTTTTACTATGAAAACACAAGTAAAAATTTTCAAAAAACTCTCAAAAAGTTTTTAAAATGAGGGGGCTTCTAATATGTCTGGCAAGTCGACTCCTCCAGGGTGGGCTTCTAATAGGGGAGGGACTCCTAATATGGGAGGGGCTTCTATTATGGGAGGGGGTTTAGTTCTTTCACAGATTCGAGATTGTGCATTCTATGACATTGTATACATAGTATAAGATATTTTAATAATTTCATACACATGATTTGCTTTAATTACATTCATCGATGCAGTTTTTGATAGGCTTTAGTTTGTTATCAAATACTTTGTAATATCATTTATCCATTAGATTGTAAAAGTGGGACGTAATGCTTTTGCAACACCTCGTATTGTTTTTGTCATAGCTACTGAAAAGTTACAGTTCTGTGGTAACGACAGCTGTGAATATTTGAGCACAATTTTTGAGAATTTTTTTCTTTTATGGAAATGAGCTATGCAGACTCCTTTACCATCAGAAATAAAAATCTCAGCCAATTTGGTGAAAATATGATAGAGATATTCACATTTCTCTTTGGCTAATGATTAACTGAGCATCCTGTACACATCAAAGTTTATCTCATAAATCTTTCTTACATTTTCTTGTGCATCGAGAAAATACAATTTTACACTTCGTTTGAACTCAATGATAGACAATACCCTTTCAGTTCTCTCAAGTCAAGTGCTGGTCGCGTCATTTATTAGTTGTTAAAAAACATGGTGAGGTCAACCATAGGCCATATTTTCACTGTGAAAATGCTGATGGAGAAGTCCCGAGACTATAACAAGCCACTTTTCCTGTGCTTTATCGACATCCAAAAGGCCTACGATTCGGTCAACGGGGAACTTCTGTGGGCGATCTGTAAGCATTATGGTCTTACTGATAAAATCGTCCATCTCCTCCAACTACTACATAAAGACTCGAAAGCAAAAATTCGCATCAGCGGAGAATTGTTAGATTCCTTCGATATCGAAACTGGCGTGTTACAGGGTGGCATCCCATCGCCTATTCTACTCAACGTCCTTTTCGATTTCATCATGCGTCGTGTCCTCGAAAAACTATCTGTGTTAAACTTAACTGGTATCAAGCTGGTCTATGCTCGTGACTTTGTGTCAGGAAGTAATGATGAAGAACTCGAACTTCTATCGCTTCTCTACGCCGACGATGTAGCCGCCGCTGACAACCCACCCGACATCGAACTCTTTATTCGAACCTTTGACGAAGTCTCACAAGAATTTGGACTCACAATGAGCATCAAAAAGACTTGTATCTTGCCCGTTCGACAATTAAAAGAAGACGCATAATCAAAGGACAAGAAATTGACACACCTCATATCGATATCAGCATTTGTAACCAAGTGGTCGAGCACGTGAACGAATTCTGCTACCTTGACTATCATTTCACACACTACAATGTCTTATTATTATTTCCTTCTTCTTATTCGATTAAATTTACGTAATGACCTGTATCGATTTATCAGTTTTTCTAATATCAGTACTTTCAGAATAAATATCAATTTTCTGGTGCACTTAAAAAACGAATAAATTAATGTGCATATGAATATACACTATCAGACTTCATTGAATCATTAAAATCTCTTAATAAAAAAATATATCGAGTTGACAAAAAATTTCTTCCAACTTAGATATTTACATATAAATTATGTAACGCATGAGAAAAAACATCACTTTATACCACCTTCCAATAACCTGCTTCCGACGAAAAAGGTACACTAATAAATTTATTTGCTTAGCGAGAACTAAAACCAAATATTGGTTCTGTTTCTGACTCCGATTCGTTCCTTTTTAAGATTACTTTCCAACTCTTTTTTACAATCGACACCATCTGTTCCAGTTCGTGGTATGACTATGACTTTAGTCCATATAGAATCTTCAGAAAGTGACGCACCCTATTTCGCTAATAGTATTTTAGAAGTTAATCATTTTCGAAATAAAATAATACAGAAAGCAGAAGCTAAGTAGTATCAAATTCAAGCAATCTCGATCGTCTCTAAAGTGAAAAAGCTTTTAAAGACGATAGCACCGCATCTTTTATAAAAATCGAAAAGGAAACGTTCCCTCCCGTCTCTCAGCTTTTTTGATTGATTGATTAGAGATATTCTAAAAAATGAACCATTTTCATAGTGCAGTATTTTTAGTTCAATATATTCCAGTGTGCAAAACGGTCGGAACGAATTTGTTAAGCTTAAATTATCAATTATACGCAAACGATCATTTCAGAATGAGTGAATGTAAATGTTTAAATAATGGACAGTGTATGATGAATAATGTAACATCAAACTATTCCTGTGTCTGTAGTGACTGCACAGCAGGTGAATTTTGTGAAAATATTTAGTATTATGTACAGTATTTAATGTCATCATCGATATCAATTGATATTCTGTCGGAAGAATCAGCTTCTACTAGAATCCTTTTAAAAATTATTTTTATTGTCATATTGTCTCTTCTAACAGTTCTATCGTTTATTAATAATTTATTAACTCTTTCAACATGTAGTGTATCTAAAATACGTATTACAGTGTGTGGACTCTATACAATAGTTTATTCCATCTCTAGTTTTATTGGTATAGCGTTCGTTGAAGTTATTGCAATTGTAACATTATTTTACAATAATGAATTAAAAAAACACCCAGTAATACATTGTACACTCTTACCAACCTTTCTGAAAGTAGCATACGACTTATGTCTTTGGATGAGTGCATTTATAGCTGTTGAACGTGTATTTATTCAGTTTGAATATTATAGTATTTATCGTACACGAAAGTATTCTGTTATTATTTTGATTATTCTGTTTCTCATTCTTAGTTCAGGAAGTGGACTATATGCTGTTGGACGTACAATTGAGAAAAGTCCTCTACTGTCAACAACATCCTACGCCTGTACATTTCATCATTTTCCCATTGAAAATGTGAAAATAGCTTATAAAGTCATAGGTAGCATGTACCCACAGGTTGTTATACCGTTGTTATTAAACTTTTTATCAATTGTGCTCACGCTAACACATATTATTCGTCATAAAATCATTTTAACTGGCTTAGAAATAAATTCATGGAAATCATTAATAATGCAGCAAATTTTGAAGCACAAACATTTCTTTATACCACCACTAGTTACTATCATTTGTACACTTCCAGAAAAAATACTGTCAAACGCTACCGTTACTTATTGTATAGGAAAAAGTATGCAAAGATTTTATCTGCGTTTACATATTGCTTTCGACTTTCTATTGTATATGCCTTTAGTTCTTACATTCTTTATCTATATTTATCCTTCTTATTTTTATATGAATCTATTCCGTGAAATAGAAATAGTTAAATGGATTAAGGTAAAAATTTTGAATCGTCATATTCGTACATTATCAAATATCGTAGAAGAAGTCACTGACGAGCAGATTGTCGAAGCAACGACTCTATAACTATAACCGTGTACAGTGCCTACCGTCTGATAGAAGCGAATACATATCTTCACGTATACTTTTGAATTGAACTCTTTTTAAAGCTTTCTCTAAAAATACACTTTTTCTCTTTCAGGACAAAGTATTTTTTTCTAATAAACAATAAACTAAAATTTTATTTAAAAATTAAAAAAAATGTTGTCTACTTCACATTTGTTCAATTTTATCTAAATGTGTATATCGTTATAATATTTTCCGGTACACGTTTGTACATTATTCTATTTATATATTTCAAATCACTTTTCTTCGATGGACTTTACATTTCCACGAGTTCATCTTATTTTCGGGTTTTTTGTTATCGCTTGTGAACATCAGTCGTTTCAACCATGCTTGAGCAGATTGTTCTGATCTTCACTTTCGGTTAGCCATATCGTCACTTTTTCTATCTTCTTATACATTTTTTTTCTCTTTTTGTGCTATCTGACAGGTGTCAAAAGTGCATATACTCGTTTTGTATATGTCACACGCAGCTATCTATATATTTTCTATTCTGTTTTCATGTACTTCCTAGCTTTCTCTTACCCTCTTTTGTATTTCATTATACATTGTGTTCATGTTCTGCTAACGATGATATTTTCTCCGTTGTAAATATGTCGACTTATCACTTCGAAATTTGTCTTCACCCCACATCCGAATTGGTCTTATCAATATTCTCGACGACGATCTGCCGATTTATGCTGAACATATGTCGTTTGCAATCGCACAATGCAAATAATGGTGTTATTAGGTTAATCAAACTTCGTAAGAAAGTGGTAAAAAATAATAAACCAGAAAGTCATTGTACGATTGGTCAGTATGCTTTATTCTTCTCATAATCGCCGATGTTGTCATTCAACAATTATTACGAATTGCAATCGAAAGCATGAAACCTATCATTACTGTACGTACCTCACTAAATTGACCGAGACTGTCATCGTGTCACCACTCCTCACAATCATATAGATTATGTCTTTTGTGTCGTGAAGCATAATTTTTATGGTATTTTTATCAAACAAATGTTTTTTCATCATTCATCTTTGATTTTTTTTCAGACAATAACCTACTTCTGATTTTCTATAAATTTATCAATACATCAGTGAAAGTTACATATGAATTCAATCGTTGATATCGTTGATTGCAAAATCGTGAGAGCAGTGGGCATGACTTGTTCCAATAGAGTGACCCAGTCCGATTATTATGTATGAGAAATTTTCGTTTTTCCTAAGCACAATAAGCTAACAAATGTATTAGAATATCAAATTTACATGGGATGGATTCGCGTTTTTTCGAAAACCGAACCAGTTCTGTCTCTACCAGCTGTAAACTTGAAACATGTGATAATAAAAGCAATATTAATTGAACAATTAAAATGAGCCATGAAGAAAATTAAAAAGAAACTGTTTTGTAAACTTGTCATGATTTCTACTCACGCTTGCGTTAAATGTTAAAGAACAAAAAAAGATTACATTCGTTGAACAAACAAGACTGAAGTGTAAAGAGTTAGACGGCAAATCGATCGCTAAAAATCGAGATATGATCAGGCTCTGCCTCTAATCAGTGGAATAAAAATGACTAACGTAGATAACAACACGGGTTGTCATTCATAGTATAAACGTTTTAAATCTTTTAGACCATTCATATTGACTGGCCTATTCCAGTAATGCTCAAATAAACCCATCAGTGTATCATTTGAATGAAAAGATTTACCATCTGCATTATACGGGTTTTGAACCATACTTCAGAAAGATAGAGGAGATACAGAAGTGATCGATGAGATTAAAAATGGCTTGTCTTTGCTGCATTTACGCCATTTAAATGGTAAAACCACATAGTACGAGGCTGACAGTCGTTATAAAAAGTGTTTCAGACTGACGCAGATGCAAATAAATTATTATCCGCTACTAGATAGACCCTAGCCTTTCAGTTTAGGGCAAAAAGTCACCCTGTTTTCACTTTTTGCGATACTTTTGTGGAGTACCTCTTCAACTCACTTTTCTTTGAAACCCTGCTCTGCCATCATAAATGAGCAGTGAGCTTCGAACCACTCAGTTATCAAAGGGGGTATAATAGTTTCGTAAGATCATATGAAAATGAGTGCATAGAGCAATTGTCCGATAAACTGTATTTAACTCATCAACAATGGCTGTAAATATGGAAGAAAAAATTGATCAGCTCATGTTTGTGCTTTATCTGATGTTGGCGAGCCTTGTGCCTATTTAACACTAAAAAAACTATGCGCATTATAAATCCTGATATTTCGAGCGTAGTTCTCAAAAAATATGTTGAAAATCTAAAGAAAAACTAAATAGTTTAAAAAATTTCTACGATGAACTAGATGTTGTAGAGAAAAAGCGGCTTGAAAACTTCTTACAGACGCTGGTAGGACACTTATTAAAGGGTGGTCCAAAAGTTTTGACCCCTCCTCGTAGAAGGATTATTTTTATGACAAACTTATATAAAACTAATTGATCAAAATATGTGATTTTGTAGAGGAGAAGACGGGCTATCTCTCTATAATAAGATCTTTCGAAATGCTTAAGTATAAGATAATCATATGACCATTTTATTCATCTGAAGTAAGCTTTTTTCATTTTGCGTTTTTAAAAAAAAATATGTATATAAAATGTTTCTCGAAAAAAAATATCAAAATGATTTACAAGTTTATCATACAAATGTACTTCTTATAAAAATATATCGATAACCACATTTTATTTGTTTAAAACTATCAATAATCAGATTTCGTTATGCGTTGACCTCGTCTTCAAAAATTGCCTTCAGCCTTTTTGGAATACTGTTGATCATTTTCATACATTTCTCTTCACTAAAGCACTCCCATATATCAATAATTTTTTGTTTCACATCGTCTAATGAATTAAATTCATATTTACTCAGTTCTTGTCGAATGATACTCCACAAGTTCTCGATAGGCCACACATCGTCCATTTTGACAGCTTGATCACTAACTTCAGTTCGTTCAGGTATATTTTCTTCTACAAATTTTCTAATGCCAGGTGTACGGTGGATACGAGATGCATCATCTTGAAAAATATGGTTATCGATATATTTTTATAAGAAGTACATTTGTATGATAAACTTGTAAATCATTTTGATATTTTTTTTCGAGAAACATTTTATATACATATTTTTTTTTAAAAACGCAAAATGAAAAAAGCTTACTTCAGATGAATAAAATGGTCATATGATTATCTTATACTTAAGCATTTCGAAAGATCTTATTATAGAGAGATAGCCCGTCTTCTCCTCTACAAAATCACATATTTTGATCAATTAGTTTTATATAAGTTTGTCATAAAAATAATCCTTCTACGAGGAGGGGTCGAAACTTTTGGACCACCCTTTACTAGTGGTGGCACTTTCCCGTTACTTTCCGTTACTTTACTCTGAAAAGTAACAGTTTTCCGTTACCAGTTACTAGTAACGGTAACGATAATCCGTTACCTGTAACCAGTAACGGGTAGTGAAAATCCGTTACCTGTTACCAGTAACGGGTAATGGAAAGCCGTTACCTGTTACAAGTAACGGTAACGAAAACCCGTTACCTGTAACCGGTAACGGGTAGTGAAAATCCGTTACCTGTTATCAGTAACGGTAACGAAAATCCGTTACCTGTAACCAGTAACGGGTAGTGAAAATCCGTTACCTGTTACCAGTAACGGGTAATGGAAAGCCGTTACCTGTTATCAGTAACGGTAACGTAAACCCGTTACCTGTTACCAGTAACGGGTAATGGAAAGCCGTTACTCGTGTTACTTTTAGCAAGTAACGGGCGAATTATTTTTTTCGGATGAAATAACCTTTCAATTAATTTGTTAACCCGTTGAAACTCATAGAAATATGAAGTGAAGGATAGATTTTTGTTGCTTCGGTGATTCAAGCACATTCGAATGTACAGAACTCGTGTTAACCCCACAACGTGGGATTTCCGTCCAAGTATGTGTTTTTTAAAGCTCAAATATCGCGTAACTGTCTCTCGTTTTAGTATCAAGCTGTATGAAATAAACAATATCTCTATCTTGTCACTTCTTGACGAGTGTTAGCAAATGTCTATTGAGAGTATTCTGATATATCGTGTTCGTGCGTCAATCCAGCAAAGACATTTCTTCGTTCTTCATCGTCAGAGAAAACGGACTGGTAAAGAGAAAATTAAACAGAACGGGAATAGTCTCGTGCGGTTAGGTGTCCTGTTACTTGTAAAGGTTGCACATATGAATGTCTGTGATCTCTATTAGAAGTGAAAGTGCTAGAAGTATTTCTAATCGATTCTCTATGATAGATTATCTATATCCCGTAAATTTTATTATCCACAGACGACTTTTTTGTATTATCAAAGTTGCCTGATTTCTGGCGACATCTCTCTCCTGGCTACAGAAAAGGTTGCTTAGCTTTCTTCTCTTTTCAGCAGTAGATATTTCGGGTCGTCGATTTGAATACTTTCTCTCTCGCGGTTAAAAAGTAATTTTCTATTTTTCTTCCTTATGATTGGCTTATCTATGGAATATCTGACTGCCATTTTCCCGTATGTTGCGCACAGACACACACAGACAACCATTTGTAAGACTTCAGTGACTTTAGTAAAGTCATAGGAATAGAGAGAAGCGATTGCGACAACAATCTGCTGGTTAATAACTACTTGTAATGTAGAGGGAAACCAAATTTGTTAGTGTAGAATTCTCAGATGAACAACTTCTGTTTCATCGAAATTGTTTTTAAGTCTAACTCATATTTAGGCATGCACCGGTTATAACCGACTGAAATTGTGCACCTTTTGTAAAAAGCTTTTTGACGAAAATTGATTCTCTAAAATTTTTCTAACAAGGCTTTGTAGAGCAAGCATTTTCCGACAAGATGAGTTATGAGAATATTCTTCGTCTCGATCCAGTACCTATAAAAACAAGATCTCAGATCGGACCCTGTCTCGAGAATTCAAGTAGTACTTTAGTTTAAAAATGATTGATCAAATTGTACTGAGTAGGATTCTAATAAAGAATAGTATTTTTGAGAAATGTATAAACTTAACAAGAAAACTTTTCGTTTTGTTATTAGACATAGAAGAAATTAAGGTACTATTGGTAGAACTACGGAATTAGAATCCGAATATGACAATGGTTTGGGCTGCTAGACCTCCAGAGACCGGATTTCTGGAAAACGAGTTTTTCAGAAACTCTAAAAAATAACCAAAACGTTTCTTAGTAAGGCATGATTGTAGCCCGGAGATTTCTGATTAAAATGAGACATCTCCCAGCTCTACATGATCTTTCTTTGCAAAGTTATAGAATTTACAAGAAAAGCCCTGGACAAATGTTAATTGGCAGCTCAAAGCAGCAGAAATTAATTTAGGGCTTTTCCTTTAATTTCTATAACTTTGCAAAGAAAGGTCGTGTAGAGCTGGGAGATATCTCATTTTAATCAGAAATCTGTTAGTCGCATAGTCAGAAATGTTTAGTCGCTTTATGAGGCAGTATAACTAAAGAAGCATTTTTTTAAACAAGTATCTAAGAATTAGATCTAAAATTTCAGAAATTCATGTGAAACATTGATCTTTATAAAACTATTGCAATGGATAATAATACTGATAATGCGGAGTTATCATTAACCGATTCGAAAAAGAAACAGTTATTAAGAAGAAACTTATCAGCAAATTCACAATCATCTCCAACATTGAGAAGAGCAAATGAAAGAACAAAATCAATATCGGATTCGCCAAGATCAGGCGTTATTCGTGGTGGGGTCGAACACACTCGTGCTCGTGCTCGCCCAAGTGGTAGATTAAAACAATCACATGTCATTAATCGAAGCCAATCAACAGAAATAAAAAATACAATGCTAATTAGTCCTACTATTACAGATACAACAGATGATGATGATGTAGTAATTGAAAAGAAACGTAAAGGAAGAGAAATCAGAGAACGTGTGCTAAGTTATTTTGAAGAATTAGAATGTGGTGGATATTTATGCAAACTATGTCCAGAACGAAAAGTAAGAAAGATAAAAGAACAGTTAAACTGTGAATTATGTTAGTAGATGGTCATGTCAGAGTGGCTAAGGGTAGCACAGTGATAGAGAGAGAAAAAAGGAGGAGGAGGGAGAGAGAGAGATAGACGTTCTTTAGTTTTCGATATGTTCTCAGATATTTTTTCTTTCGACTGAAAAAGATATCTTAAAATTTAGCCACTTCCGTCAACTAAAAAATTTTTCTTAAAAATCGTGCACTGCCTTTTATATTCCAGAATAAAAAACAATTTTTTTACCTCGTTTCTGTCGGCTTTTTCCATAACCACAGACCATTTGATATGACCAGATTTAAATTATGTGCTAAGCAAGATGTCTTTGTACCAAATTCAAGTGTATTTGCTGCACAGTTAATGTCACTACCCTTGTCGGTAGTAATAGATCGAATTTTTGATGTTATTTGTAATTTCTCTATTTCATATCGAATGAAACGTCTCAATCTTATTGCAAGATGTTGTCCTCGTAAACGGCGAAAACCAATGATTCTTGATACGTATTTGTAATTCTCATCATAATAATGAGCTGTTAAACAAATAAAATGGGTTCGTGCATTGTTCTTCCACACATCACTTGTTAATGCAATATCCGATACTTTTGACAATACTTCACGTAATTCATGCCGATATTCACTATATAATGTGGATAATCGTTTATGCACTGTTTTACGATGAACACCTTTATATCCGGGTACGGCTATATCCAAAAATTCACGCATACCTAAGATATAATGGTTCAACAATTAGTTATTTAGAGAACACAAGTCTATATGATAAATTAACAGCTTACCTTCTCTACGAAAATCACCAAACGACCGTGAATCTCTAATTATGCAGTCAACAGCAGCGTTATCTAATTCCTTTTTCCTTTCTGTTGTTATTAATTTTGGTTTTGATGAATATAGACGTTTTTGTGATTCAAACATTAATTCTTCTTTTTGATGTAGCATTCCAAGATGTTTTCTCAAATTTGCATCAGAATAATTATTTGATTTCAAAACCTAAAAGAGAAAATAAAACTTTCAGTATGAATCTAGATAGGAAGAAGTTTGAGTAATTCAAAAAAGTGTGTATAAAGAAGGCCCCTGGTAGTAAACAAAGCAACATTTGTCCGCTTTTTTCTTGTCCTTGTGGTCTAGGAGAAGAAAAGACAATAACGATCTTGGTAAAAGCTTTATTTTTGTAAGCAAGACTTATTGTTTTTTTTGCTTAGTTGGTAGTACCGTACAAACTGAAAAAATATCTGGGAACATATCGAAAACTAAAGAACGTCTATCTCTCTCTCTCCCTCCTCCTCCTTTTTTCTCTCTCTATCACTGTG